ACTTGACAGTTTTCTTAGTACACTTTGCACTTAATCTTTCACCAACACGTCTCTTTACATTGTTTTTTTCATCATTTCCAAATAAATTAAACTTGCTTTCATCACTGAAAAATACTTTTCCCAATTTTCATATGTCAAATTACATACCTGTTTGCAAACTCTAATCTCTTCTTCTTATTCTTGAACTAACAAGTGGTTTCTTCCTGGGGTTCGATTAAACAGCCCTATTTCTTGCAGTCGTCTACAAACAGTCTGTCTTGACACATTAACACATGAGGTACTATTCATAACCCTTTTAATTTCTGTGCAAGACTTAAAACGGCCCTTTAATGACATACGCTGCATTATTCGATCTTCTCTTGCGAGAAGTTTTGCGGGGTCTGCCGGTTTTAAAAGCACTAACTATTTTGCCAGTATCATTGTAGGATTTAACAACCCTGCCTACAACACTCTTGGAACGTTTCACTTTCTCTGAAATCTCTCTAATGGTGTGCTTTTCCTTGTGTAGCTTCACAATAGCTTGTCTCACAGAGTAATCAAGTTTTTGGCATTTTGCCATGGTGCCGGCTGATGCAACGTTTACAAATGACTAAGTAAGACTTATTCTTTAGAGGAAATCAAAAAATTTGAATATAGCATACTGTTTACATTGTTTTTCTCAATTTTGTCCCTTACTTTTGGACGATCCTATTTTGAAAATAAAAAAATAATTGTTATAATTCTTTTTCTATCCTTTGTAAATGATTCAAATTTTAGTATGTTATTATGGATGATAACGACTACCAGTTGTCAAAATTTCAGCTTTTCACAGTTGTTATTTCTAACAAATATTAGGTTTTAAAATTTTGTCCCTTAGTTTTGGACGCTACTGTATATATTATACTGAAAAATACAGTAATATATATCTTGGCTTGAAGCAATCAGACATTTAGACATACTGAAGAGCTACAATGAAAGTCTGTCTGTGGATGACTATATAAACGTTTTCATCTTCCTAGTGTTTAAAAATAAATTGCCTGAATGATAGTTTAGTTTTTTGTCCTTAACAAAACAACTTAAATTATGTGAAAATCTATAGGTGTCGTTACAATTTATTAAGGAACGGTGGCTACATAATTAACTGAATAAGAAAGACACAAGTGAAAAAAAAAAACTATATTAAGCTGATGTGTTTTGTTATATGCCGGTCTTTATCAAGGCAAATCTAATGATATTATTTTGCAACAAGTGCTGAACTGCTACATGATCTCTGTCCTCCTTTTATGACAGTTGAAGAAGAGACTTGAGTCAATGGAAGTATGATTCTACAGAAGGATGCTATGGTTATCATGGACCGAGCATGTGACCAAAGATGAGGTCTTGGAGAGGATGCAAAGAAGGAGGACGCTTATACTTAACATCAGGAAGAGGCAGCTGAAATTTCTGGTACACGCAATGAGAAAGAAGGGCTTGGAGAATCTGATACTCACAGAGCAAGAAGGAAAGAGAGACAAGGGAAAGCAAGCATGACATACTCAGCAGGCTTAATCAAATGGATGGCAGAACAGGATCTGAGAGAAGTAGCAAAGGGACAAAATGTATTCAGAGCTATAATAGATAGGGAGAAATGGAGAGCCATGATCGCCTACATCCTGAAGGGACACAGCACATAAAAGAAGAAAGATCTATAAACAAAAGCAAAATTTTAGTTACTCAAAATTATTAAATTAAAAGACACTCAAAAATATTCATTAGGTTAACTGAAACATTACTTAGCATCCTCAAAAAGCATTAAAATGTGTCATTAAAAGAAAGCATTAAAATGTGTCATTAAAAGAAAGCATTAAAATGTGTCATTAAAAGAAAGCATTAAAATGTGTCATTAAAAGAAAGCATTAAAATGTGTCATTAAAAAAAAAGCATTAAAATGTGTCATTAAAAAAAGCATTAAAATGTCTCATTTAAAAAAAGCAATAAAATGTCTCATTTAAAAAAAGCATTAAAATGTCTCATTTAAAAAAAGCATTAAAATGTCTCATTTAAAAAAAGCATTAAAACGTGTCATTAAAAAAAGCATTAAATCAGGTCAGTTAGCATCCTAAAAAAATTTTTTTTTTCTTTTTTAAAGAGAATCTTGTTTGAATTGTGATTACATTATTATGGTAATTCAGTCGTAATTCATCTAGTGTGACAAGCTTACTATTACATCATATCAAAATGCCCAACAATTTAGTAAGTGTAGCTTAGATGTGGCACAAGTTTGAAAATATGTTGCACCCAGTGAGAATCAAACTCGCTACACAATTGTAAATGACCTAGTAAGACAAGCTTGCCAACCATTATGCCACCTTTAAGTGCCTCTTTATAATGAGATCTGAACATGATTCCAAAAACTAGGCAGAGTATTACAAAAAAAGGAGGATTTCATTGGTAACAAAGAAAAGAGTACAGAACTGTGACGTAATATCTGTCCTCCTTTACAGCAGCGAATGTTGGATGGTTTCCTCAAAGACGAAGAGACTCGAGGCAATGGAGGTATGGTTCTACAGAAGGATGCTAAGGATACCATGTACTGAACATGTGAGCAATGATGAGGTTTTGGAGAGGATGAAAACAAGGAGGAAGCTTATATTCAACATCAGAAAGAGGCAGCTGAAATTTTTTGGGACATGTAATGAGAAAAGAAGGCTTGGAGAATCTGATACTCACAGGGCAGATAGAGGAAAGAGAGAGACAAGGGAAAGCAATGTGTGACATACTTAGTGGGCTTAAGTGGATGGCAAAACAGGGTCTGGGAGCAGTAGAAAAAGGACAAAAGTAAAACAGATTGAGAACTACAAGGGATAGGGTGAAGTAGAGAGCCATGATCACTTACATTGTGAAGGGACATGACACAGATTTACAGGATCCAGTATAGTAAGTCAGTTAGAAACCAACAAATTTAAGACCAAATTAGATCAGTCCTAAAATATGTGGGAAGTCAGTATTTCTTTAAACGAAATGATTACAATTCAATTTCCTTTCTTGAGATAAAAATCAGGTTAGTTGTAAGCATTGCAAGATTTCATCAATGAGAAATAAGTAGTTTTTATCTTGTACTGGAATTAAAAAAAATATATATATGACTTAATTTTTAAGCTGCTGTATTGGGTAAGGCTGGAAATTTTCCAGGCTCGGATCTCTGGTAAGATATGATAAATGATTTCAATTATGTTAGAGCTGATGGATTATTTGACAACAGTCTTCATAGATGAATCTTTTCTTTTTACAACCTACTGGCAATTGGTAATGCTTTACTAACATACAATCAGCCTTGTATATTATATATATATATAATTTTTCTTGCTGAATAAATTACCTTACATGTATTGATGTTAAAGGATGAGAGAAATGTGCTATAGCTGTTTAAATTTCTTTTATTTTCATTTTCCAATTATTTTTGATATTCTTCCAACAAAATATAGTTTTGTACTACTTGCACCCCTGAAGATTATCTTGGAAGAAGATCAAAAGTACTTGGGAAATGAAAATAAAAGAAATTTAAACAGCTATAGCATATTTCTCTCATACTTTAACATCAATACACTGAAGGTCATTCATCAGTATGAACAGATTTTGTCAAAAATTAGCAGACATAATGTCTAATTTATTCAATCAGACATGCTTAAAAGAGAATTTGCTGCCTAAATACACAAATGTATATATTTGTGTATTTAGGCAGCAAATTCTCTTTTAGGCATGTCTGATTGAATAAGTTGCAAAAATTATGTCTGCTAATTTTTAGCATAATCCATTCATATTCACAGATATTTTTACGTGTATTACAAATAAATGATGCAAGAAATGCATTGTAACAGTGAAAATCACTTATTTTCCAAGTACTTTCCATCTCTTTCTGAGATCATCTTCAGGGGGTGCAACTAATAAGGAAAAAAACTATGTGTAGCCATCCATTACTGAATTTTTTCTTTTTATGTTTAAATGCACTAGTTGACAGGTATGCTCCAGTGTTCATTAGAACGTGAAAAAATTATCCACCATGGAAATTTTTTTCTTTATATTGGAATGTCATGGTCAAGCATTTATTAAAGCATGAAAACTTTTTTTTTTTTATAGGCATTTTAGAACATTATTATAGTAGTTGTAGCTGATTCTATTCATTGCCGGCTTCAGTTTTTTTTGTTTTTTTTTTTAATGTAGATTGCTTCGTGGATCTGTAGTTTTAATTTGTTAATTTCTTGGTGTAGGATAGTTGTGTTATCAATCAGTATTTTTCTATATTGTGAATGTGGACAGGAATGTTGATGTAAATGTCTTGCGTATTTTTTAATTTTATGGTGAATATGAATGGATTATCCTAAAAATAAGCAGGCATAACGTTTGTTATATATATATATATATATATATATATACACACACACAGCAATGGATAAATTTTCTAAATTACACAAAAATAATACTGACATCTCATTTTAGCAAATATATTTAATAAAATTTATAAAAAATATCTTGAAATGCTAAAAAGTAAGTTTAAAAAAAAAAAAAAAAATCACCATTGTCTTCAATTCATCTTTGGGGCTACAAGGAGTTTTGTTGGTCTCTCGCTCAACTGTGCCCCATACATAATAATCAAGGGGGTTGCAGCCTGGGGAGTTATGTGGCCAGATCTAAGTGGTGATTTCAGAAATTGTCTGATAGCAATGACAGAGTTCTCCTGCTTGTGTGGCATGGTGCAGAGTCCTATTGGCAGACAGAGTCTTCCAGCAGCCACACTCTTGTGCCAGGGGGGCAGCATTATCTCCTCAAGGCACTTGACTTAGGCCATCCATGTTAAGTGAGTCCCTCTGGGATGATGAATGGAGGCATAACATTGCCATCACTAGTGATCATTTCAAACACCTTCATGATTACCATTAGACTCCTCTAACTCTTTCTGAAATTTTAGTTAATGTTTATTACTTTCATGAAAAAGTGAAGATGTATTTTCAATGATAATTTTTCTGAATTGTGAATGGACAGACATGCTGATAGATGAAGAGAGAGGGGGGGAGGGACAGAGAAAAGAGAGGGGGAGGGACAGAGAAGAGAGAGGGGGAGGGACAGAGAAGAGAGAGGGGGGGGGAGGGACAGAGACAAAGAGAGAGAGGGGGACAGGGACAGAGACAAAGAGAGAGAGGGGAGGGACAGAGACAAAAGAGAGAGAGGGGGAGGGACAGAGACAAAGAGAGAGAGGGGGGGGGACAGAGACAAAGAGAGAGGGGGAGGGACAGAGACAAAGAGAGAGAGGGGAGGGACAGAGACAAAGAGAGAGAGGGAGGGACAGAGACAAAGAGAGAGAGGGGGAGGGACAGAGACAAAGAGAGAGGGGGGAGGGACAGAGACAAAGAGAGAGGGGGAGGACAGAGACAAAGAGAGAGAGGGGAGGGACAGAGACAAAGAGAGAGGGGGGAGGGACAGAGACAAAGAGAGAGGGGGGGGACAGAGACAAAGAGGGAGGGGGAGGACAGAGACAAAGAGGGAGGGAGGGAGGGAGGGAGGGAGTTGTAGTACAAATAAAGTTTTACATTTTGGAACAATAAGCCCACTTCCATCAAGAAAGACTGGCAAGATGGGTTTTGATATGCATTATAGTGCATACTTATTGGCAAGAATTTACAGAAAATACATAAAATTACTGAAGTCTAATTGTCATTCTAACTGTTCTACCCACAAAAAGAAGACTACATTTGATCATTGAGCAAAAACAACAACTCATTTTCATAAATTGTCGACATTCATAGAAAAATAACTGTTTAAAAAAATATATAGTGCAAATAAGCACAAAAAAATGGCAAAGTAAAGAGTGAGTGAATAAAACAAAAAAAGACTTTGGTTCACAGATCAATATTGGAGTGAAAAGCCAACAGACGATAACTGTTTTACACTTGCAAATGCAGAAGAGAAAAAAAAAAAAAAAAAGGAACCAGGAATGAATATTCCTTTGTTCTCTTGCACCCACCTTCGATTTGTTAAATTTCCGACCTAAAGTATATGTTATTTACTTTTCTGTGTATTCATGGATGTGCAATGCAACAGAGACAAAAGAATGAATATATATATTTTTTTATTCAGTCAGTCAATTTTCAATCAGTACCTGACTATTGTATCGTGCTACTGGTGAGGATAAAAGAAAAAAAAATGGATATTTATTATTAGTGTCTGCATATATGTGTGTGTGTGTGTGTGTGTGGCACATGCACGCACACGAATGTCTATATTGCAACTGATACTGTGGTAGCAATGATGAAAGGGTGAATAAGTTTATACTTCGTGGCATTTTACACTTAAGTGATTTTCTTGGTGTTCCATTTTTGTGTCCTTGTGTCAGACTAAGCTAAGCAGTTTCCAACATACTTATGTCCATTGTTACATAAAAATCATTCAGTGTGTGTGATAGAAATCATATATATATATATATATGGACAAAGCCCAACAATTATTTTAATATATTTATTAATACTTTATATTTATTGATACAAATATTTAAGTAAACGTAGTTTATAATAAACAGTATTTATAACATTTACCAGCCTGAATGTTTGAGAAATTTCATAAAAAATATGTGTCCTCCAACAGGAATCAAATGTGTATCCTACACAGAACTACCATATAGTCTGACATGCTATACTATTTAGCTACAGAGGAAGCATCTAGTTAACAAGGTTGAATTAACCAGACACTTTCTCTGTAGCTAAATGGTATAGTATATCAGGTTATATGCCAGTCACCTATACAATATAGGTTCGATTCCTGGCACAGGACACATTTCCAATGATATTTCTTGGACATTCAGACTAGTTAATGTTTCTCATACTGTTCCTATTTCCAGGGTGTCCCAAAAAATTTAACATCATTTCAAAAGCAATTATCTTGAAAACTCTTAAGTCCAGCTCAATGAAATTAAACAGTTTAGGTGTTGAACATCATAAGTTTATTATGGGACTGATTTTATAAGTGTTCCATATGTGCGTCGCCTGTGACATGGCACACGTCAGGTCGGTAGTTAAGCTCTTGCCAAACACGCTGTAGCATGTCTATGGTAACATTATGCAGTGTAGAATTGAATCTCTGCTCGAGTTCGTCAATGCAGGAAGAGGTGGGGGGATATAGACCAGTCCCTTCACATATCTCCATAAAAAAGAAATCACATAGGGACATGTCTGGTGACCGTGACAGCCATTTCATCAGAAAACTGTCTTCATTTCCACCACACCTGATCAATCTCTCGGGCAGATTCTCATGTACTGTTGTCTTCCATTAAATATAAAATCTTGATTCTGAGAAGATTTGAGGTTATTTCAACAAGAATTGCCAAAATTATTGGCCTGCAAAATGTCAAATTTTTGGGACACCCTGTGTGTGTGTGTGTGTGTGTGTGTGTGTATATATATTCAAAATTCAAAAAAGACATTCGGATTACTAACACAAAAACAGAGAATGTCTCATATCGAGAATATTTAACATTGAACATAAGGAAAAAATTAATTATTTTTTTAATATGTGGAAATCTCCGCTTTTACCTGAAGACGGTCAGTGAGACCAGAAACACGTGTTATAAAATTATGTAAAACAAAGCATAATATTTTTTCTAAATAAATCCACATTACAATCAAAAAACGTTTTGCGGCACCTCTCTTCTCTTCTTTTTAATATACATACTTTTCTCTCGTTGGAACCACTACAACCTCTTTCTTATATATATATATATATATATATATATATATATATTATATATATATATATAAAAATAAGGAAAAATGTAGCTTCACTTACAGCACATGAACAAAAACCACACTTTGAAAAATCCTGATTGACTATGGTATTAAGTTCTAAGTCAGGTATATTTACCCAGCCTCCTTACTAAATCAGGATGTAACACAAGGTAGTTTTAATGTAGGGAGTGCCATATGCATACTTATGCATATGGGCCAAAGATAAAAATTGATTTTTGCCCAGCCTCTGCAACTATCGTCATGCTGGCATCATATTACACAGACTCAACCTCCTTTGGGCAATGAGGAAGGTGCTGTTGCAGAGTTGGAATTCCTTGGGCTGAGCAACATTCATCTAAAATGAAGAGAAACATAGCTCGACATATAGCACAGGGGGTAATAACCACGCCTCAGCAACCCTCACTGGCAATGGTTATCTTCTGTGCCAGATAAGTGGAAGTCAGGTTTTAAAACATACCTCTTACATTTAAGTCCAAAGTTCAAATTCAACTGCAAATGATGAGTCAAATCTTATCTTGAACTTAAAAGGTCAAAATAATGTCAAGGTTTTATCAATGCATAAAAAATTTAGGATTTTTTCATTGATTCGTTTTTTGTGGCTTAACTTTCTGCAGGTTTTTCAAAGACTGAAAATATTTTTAGACTGCAAATTTTTTTTAAAAAGTATTATTTATAGATACAAGTCCAACTAATTAATCCATAGCTGGGGGGATTCATACCTTTACCCAAGGATATCTGTACATAAGTGAATATAGTGAATTCGACTAGAATTTGAACACAGCCCTCCGATTTTACATTCTTATCCATTATCTGTTATATCATCCATACATCCAAGCTTACAGCACCTGCTATTCCCAAGCAATCACTTATCTAGGTATTGACTATGTTTGCTGTCAAATCACTGATCATACAAGAGCAAGTATTTTAATTTGATATGGTCAGAAGATAAAAAATTTAGGTTTGGTTTGGTTTGTTGTGTTTTACAGCATATCAACCTCAATGTGTTATTTAATGCCGACAAAGTTTTTATTGCTGGTAATATTTTATTTTGCCAAAAATCTATTTCTGGTAATAATTCTTCCTTCAAAAAAGTATTGTTGGTAATATTTCTTTTCAAAAACGTATTGCTGGTAATAGTTTTTTTCTTCAAAAATTTACTGCTGATAATATTTTTTTTTTTTTACACAAAGTATTCCTGGTATTAAAACCCATGTTTACCCCAGTTTTGGGGTTAACTATTTGCCCATAGCTGGGACCCTAACAGGTGCTACCACCCCAGGTCAGGGTGGACCTGGGAACACCAGCAATTAAGAGGTGGTTTCATGCTCCTCAAAACCTCTTGATCAGAGGCCTTGCTGCTGGACGTAGTTTATCATCTTACCCAGGATGCGGATGTAGTTTATTGTCATACCCAGGATGGAAAAATTTAAGAAGACTACATAAATAAAGAATAGTATCTAGCAAAGACTCACAATTTATATAGAGACAGTTAAATCTTATTATCCCCAGTTTCCCTGCACTGGGTGAAATCTTTGTATATACTAGACATATTGCGCAGGAAATCACTTTAAATTAATGCCTTTTAACCGTGTGAACTAGCACTATAGAATCACAAAGAATTGTACCAACTAACAAACTTGAGCACTTTAAACAGCATCAATAACTAAAATGAACAGTACATGTAACTTTTAGAGAAAATGATGACATAATCAAGATGTCAATGTTCCACACTGCTTTGCACAAAAGGTTAGGAAGGAAACTCCTATCAATACTTGAAAGAGTGACAACAGTGGCCTTGAGAAACCAACTTTCCTGAAAAACTGTTTTAATAGAAAGATTTTATAATTCTTATAATGAACAGTGGCAATGTTCACTTACTAGTGCATGCCTTCCTGATGTGGGCAATCATGGCACACCACAATTACCTATCTTTTGGAGCTCTTAATAAGGTTTCAGTTTTTACTATTCAACCGACTCCTTGTTCTGCCATCCATTTACACAAGCTTGTTACATAGGTTACTTGCTGCTTTCCTCTTGCCTTCAATATAACTTGTGTTATACTTTCCAAGCCCTCTTTCTTTATTTCAGGTTCCAAAAATTTCAATGGCTACTTTCTGATTCTAAATTTATTTTATTTATTTCATTTTTTTTTTTTTTACAGTAAGGTTCACCATGTGGAAGGCCTGAGGCTACTTGAAGCAGAGGGTTATGTTAAAGAGTAGTTTATATAGATAGGAGGGGAAGATAACAGTTGACTCTAGACTTGAACAGGTTAAGATTGGAGTGATTGGGGGAAACATCCTCTATTTCATAAGGTGGTCGTTCAGGAAGCTGTTTGAGTGGAACTTACTTCTTGTTAATGGAATACAGAGGGAATGAAAGTGGTTTGCTACTATGTAAGTAGCATGACAGGTCCTAGCCGTGAAGGTCAGATCTAGTAGAATTAGGAGATGCGGTTCATTCAAGCACTTTCCATGGTAGTAGCAATACAGCAGTGAAAGACTCACCACATCCCACCTGTGAAAGAGAGGTTGGAGGGTGGGAAATAATTCTTCTCCCACAAGGATTGAGATGCTTTTGATTGCTATCAAGACTGGAAAGTGAGATCTGGGCAGCTCCCACCCAAATATGACAGCAGTTTCGGCCTGATCTGGCTCTTATAAGAAATCAGGTACTTACTTGAGTGGTAGAGGAAGCCGATCATTTTACCTGCATCTTTAGCGATGGATTGTATAGAGGAATTTTTGTTATCACCTTTCTTAAAATCAATGGTATGCTAAATAACTTCTTACGGAAGAATATCTGATGCCTCAAGTCTC